TCTATTTTGTATATATAAGCCAGGCAAATAAAGGCGGGGAAGAAGTGATGGCATAGATAATTGCAGACAGGCAGAGATAGAAACAGATAATTGAGTCAAGCGCGGTAGTGACCGTAAGTAAAGTGCGTGAATCGTTGTGAGTTATAGCGTGTGTTTAAGTTAAAGTGACTGTGGAAATTAAGTGTATTGCAAAGTTGTATAGAGAAAGAATAAACTTGTTTTGTTTAAATAAGGACTTGTATCGCTAAAGTTTCATCGGAAAGAAATTATACGTGAAATTAACAAACGAAAAGAGACGTAACAATATGTTGTACAGTACAAGTTGTGGCATTCGGCGTTATTATCAATAACCTATTGTTATTCAATTCATTTTTAAGTTACGGTTATAGCAGTTCTGTCTTTATGATAATATTAAAAATATAATGTTTTGTGAATAGCTAATGATTATCTTTGTAGCTATTTGCTGCAAGTTTTGCAAGTCGTAGCTATTGAAATCTTTCTTAACTATAATGTTCTTCGCACCTTAGGTCTATAAAAGTGTATATTTTATGGGATTTAGGAATAATGTGGAAATGTACTATATTTGAACTGTTTCATTTGTTCACTAACGTATTAAGTGCTGTTTTACTAAACATCTGTGATTTTTTTCAGAATATGTAATGCATACTGGAGGGGTTTAGATATTTTGACAATAAGGTTAGGAAATAAAAACGATCTTTACCCGTCAGATAATAATGATCATAATAAAAAAAATTATTTCATTTAACATTTTGCCGTTGTGGCTTCATTAGGGCTATTAGTACAAGACACTTCAAACAGTTCGTGTACTATTAACCCAGATGTTGGTGCAATTACGAAACGTTGGCTGAAATAAAAAGTTGTTATTATTATTAATATCTGGAAAGTAAAGGTATTTTTTTAACTTTATTGTCCAAACATCGGTGAATTGTCAGTTAACCCTAACCCCACCAGTGGCACAGCGGAAAGTCTGCGGACTGATAACGCTAGAAACCGGGTTTCGATACGCGTGATGGGCACAACACAGATAGTTTGGTGCTAACTACAAACAAACAAGCTATTAACCCTAAAACAACTTAGTACCCGTTATTCACCGTTGTTGTATTTTGCAGTAGAGTGCTACACACATAACATGTACTAAAGTATAAATATTTGATAATAGTTAATTTTCATAATCGTGATCATGTGTAATGTATGAATAGCATAAAAATTTATTACACCTAATACTTTATAACATTGGAAGCGATAGCGTCAAAAAAATACAATCGTATTTGTAAAACGAAAAACTTCTAATAACAATTACAAGTTATATAAATAAATTTAAATAATATGTGAGAAACTTATTGAGCCCTCACTAATACGAGTGTATGAATTACTGTTCATCACCAGGGCTAACAGTTTGCCTCTGATGAAGAAAGATACACCTTTCAAAAGTGCTCTGGTTATATTGTTTCGTATTTTTGTCTTTAATTAATCGATGTTTTGAACTTACCTGTTTTCCTATCATTATAAATTAGTAACTTTTCAGATATTATTTGTTTTAATCCTATTGTTCAGCGAGACTATCAGGTACTCTTAGTTCCTGCAAAGTCATTCAACCAAAGTTAAAATACTGTTACGACAGCGGAAGTCACGTGACTCTGGTAACACGTCATGAGATTCTAGAAGGATCATGAAGGCCCGAGCGTTTTATAGGCGCCCTCTATGTTAATATATAAGGCCGACAAATAAAGCGGAGAGAAGAAGTGACGGCATAGTTAATTGCAGATAGACAGAGACGAATAATTGAGTCAAGCGCGGTAGTGACAGTAAGTAAAGTGCGTGAATCGTTGTGAATTATAGCGTTAAAAGACACTGTGGAAATTAAGTGTATTGCAAAGTTGTATTGAGAAAGAATAAATTAGTGTTTAAGAAAGGACTTGTATCGCTAGTTTCATCGGAAAAAATTATATGGGAAATTAACAAACGAAAAGAGACGTAACAATACTTTTAATTGGAATCGTAACTATTTCAGAACATTCAAGTAGCATGATCTAAAAATTAGGTTTTCCCCATTTCCGTTTATTCGTCAAATCGATCGTCATATGTTATTTCTCATTTAGTCAAATGATGTTTTGTTTGCCGATTCCATATTAACCCAGTTGAAAGCTCTCTGCACAGAAAGCTTGTACAACTTTATAATGTGCGACTTTTTTCCTGCAACTCTCAAGTCAACATATGCTAAACATTCCTTTTGAGGATTTCATTTTTTAGTTTAGGAAAGGCAAGTAAACGTAAATTTCTTAATATTAGTCAGATGCTACACTGAGTGAAGCCCTTGGTTTTGCCCATGATCTTGTACGTTCATTTTATATTTATTGTGTATTTTAGGCATTATTACATTAGCAAATATCATGATTTACAAAAGTTTATGTATGTATTTTTTTACTGTTGATGAAGGTAACATTACACACAAGTAAGGGTGTGATCGGTACTTTTTTCCACCACTAATATGTCCTTTAATATATTACTTATTCAATCAATAAAATACAGATGTTATACCTCTACATATTACGTTTCATTAATGTATAAACTATTCATTCAGTAAAATGATTTTTATACATCTAAAAATTAAACATATAAGTTTATACTTAACAAAATTATTTTACAGAGTTCGGGAAATTATGGAATGCGTTTGGAGGCCGAAAGTACATGATGTGCAACTAAGACTGGAAACAGTGAGTATTGCTAACAGAAACAAACGCTGTTGACGAATTAGTAATGAAAAAAAAAAAAACATGACTAAAGACAACAATATATATTTCTAACATTCTAGGCACATTGTAGCAGCAAAGATATGCCCTCTTCTCGGATCCTAGAAACTCAGTGTCCGGGGCTGATTTAGTCTACTATTAAAGTGAAAGTGGCTCTGCATTTAGTATGGTAATAATGACAATAGACAAACGTACTTACACTCGTAGACATTAAGCTGTGCAGTGCACATACGACTCATTTTGCCTCTTATGTTACTGAAATAATGTTTCATCTGACATTTTGGTTGTTGAAACACGACACAACTAATAAGCTCTGATACAGCGAATGTTCTTGTCATACTGAATAATACTAATAAAAAAATTACGCACTTAAATTACAGTGCATAAAATAAATACCAAATGTGAATAAGGGTTGTTTATATAAAACCAAAACTATTCACTAATAATGATTTGTTTGCAAAGTCTGTTCGAAATATTACTTGCCGATTTGGATAAAAAACAAACAAAAAAATTAAAGAAATTGTAAACATCATGTATATTTCAGTGATTCGTCATTTTATTTAAGTTAAGTATGCATAAAATTTTAACAGAGGCGTCGGAACCGGGAGTGCTGTAGTAACCCTATATATAGCAACTGTAAATTATATGTTTATGTTAATTTTCTCAGAGCCCCTAGACTGAGCTGCTTTTAGCAGCTCCTTATAATTTCAACCTCTCATTGTAAAATCTGCATGTCTAGTCAAGTCCTCATATATATATATATATTTATATCTATAATAATAAAACTTTTTCTGTACTACAAGGATAGTGACTCTTTTCAGCACGTTATTTTACGACTGACTTTTCAAACTGTCTTGTTAAAAATATATAAAAAGTATTCAGACGCTTGCCGTTGACAGGCTAAATATATTTGTTTTAGAGAAAATACACATTGGGATATCTGATGTGTCAACTACGGGGAATCGAACCTTGAAATTTAGAGTTGTAAGTTCGTAAACGTAGAGCTTACTTACTGAAGTCAGGTTCAATACGACTCACACTTACTTAGTATACGATTTACTAAACTTTACTTACATTGTTTGGAAAATTGTAAGGAAACAAAGATGCCGAGATTCCCACGTTGATGTGTCGTACGGTGTTATGTTGAGGTTCTCTCCTTGGGACCTGTAAATTGTAAAAATATGGAGTAGCTGTGACGCATTCAAATAACAATTTGTGCATCTTATTTATAGGTTACATTATAATTCTGTTAAGAGAAAAATAAATGAATGGATATAACTGTACACTTGTTTTCGAAAAGTGAAATCTTCGATTTGTTTTGAGGGTGGAACATTGTTTTATACGTACCGCCCCCCTTATAGAGGAGAAAAATTAGTTCTTAATTTGATTCTATGTCTCTCAACCTACATTGCAGCCATGGGAATTATCTGGTTATTACAAGTTCAAGCCTCCCCTCGAAATTGTAATGTCATGACTTCTAAACGGTAGGGCGCTTTCAACTACGTCCTAATATTTCGAAATCGAACCCACGTCCCTAATCAATCCAAAACCTGAAAACGTTTCTTTAGAAAAACTAAATTGGAAACAATGGTCAGTAATTTTTGCATCTCAAACAAAATCCCCACACATATTTTAGATTCCATTTGTAAATATATTTTCAATCCTGCACTCTAAAAAACGAGAGGGAATCCTCAATGGCGTGGGGCGCACGTACACCCATTCAATTTTATCAGGATCTCTACTAGCCTACCTTCAAATTGAAATTATTTTAGGCAGGATTAGAGTAAATTAAACAATGAGACCTGTTTTACTTTTTATCATCTATATTTTTGTGCACCAGCAATACCAATTGCGCATACCCGATTTAGGCAGGATTAGAGTAAATTAAACAATGAGACCTGTTTTACTTTTTATCAGCTATATTTTTGTGCACCAGCAATACCAATTGCGCATACCCGATTCGATTTTATTACTCATCACAATCTCTGCCAGCCTACCCTCAAACTGAAATTATTTTAGACAGGATTACAGTAAACTAATCTATGAGACCTTGGGCGTGATAAGATACATCAGTTGAGGGAATTTGACCTCCTGAGTCTAAAACTGTAATTAGATCTCAAATCTGTCAAGAGATGGCGGAGCTATGGATGTGAAGTACTGATAAAGGAGCTACACCAAAAAAAAAAAAGTGTGCATTCACAGTCTTTGTCAGAATAAGAGATATTACACTCACAGTAGGATTATACAACATTAAACAGTAACATTTTAAATAATCCATACTCTATACAAATGTAATATACGGTGATATCATGTGTTTTATACTCCCTTAGCTGCTCCTTGTGTTTCGAGGTTTCTGAGAATACAATACAAATAAATATAGTTGTGAATGTACATATTTTGAAATTACTGTCTTCTAAAAAAAAATTCATAACATTTTATTGTTGCAAAATCATATTAATGTAACAAATTTTATTACTAGTTATCTTTATTTTATTTTCACATACCACTGACATGGCTTTCCATATTATTAATAAATAAAACAACCTTTTCATACATATCAGAAGTGTGTTGAATTTTTATTTATTCTGAATATCCACATTTAACGGACTGAATTTTTACCTTGTCAGCAAAAAGCGTTTTTCCTTAAGACTTTGCCCATGATTTTATTTCAATATTTATTCAATAATTTTCTAGCACACAAACACATAAATGAAATCAAACTGGTATCCATTTAAGTAGTTTAAAAGTTTTGACTATAAATAATACTTGGAATGAGATTGGTGTTTTTAATCAGAACGGAACCTTACCGTTCTTACGCAACACGTGTGAGACCGGTCAGCATTTTTATAATGTGCCCACAGCGAAAAGCATGGATCGTGTTCAACTAACAGCATATCACGAGCTCAAACTTGGAAGCTTAAAACACACGTTTAAGCACAGCAAGTATGAATATTAAACTTTTTAAATTCGCCTTACTAAGCTACAAAAAGTAATACAACGAATTTGACCTTTCAATGACATTGGAGCAATATTGATTTTATTGCATAGACTTATAATTTACCATTCTACAAAGTACATTTGATAACTGTTTGATTTTAGCACTGGACCATTTATGTTTTCGAAACCAAGAAAGACGAATAGTCAGGTTTAAAGCAATAAAACTAATATGGTGGCGTCGATCTCACCCATGCTTGAATAGGCCAGCTTTACTTTAAAAAAAAGAACTTTTTAAAAACTTATAAACAGGCAATAATGACAATAAATAAACAAAACCTCAGATGCCATCACATAAGTTTATGAAGTCTGATGGATTTCTTCCAAGAGATTTTAAATGCAAAGCTACAAAAATTCTCACATCTACCATGTTTATGTATATATATATATACATATTTACACACTAGCAACCACATTACCGTCCATAGGAGACAACATAGCATATATATTTAAAAAAAATTATTAAACACAGAATATAAAGATGACATTTATGGTAGTGCAATAACGCCATTTTTGCTATTTAGAAGTAAGGATATGGTGTTTTTTCGTCAGAATTATTATTGTAGTTGTGTGAGAAACAAGGCGAATAAATGTAAAAAGAAATGCTAACAGAAGAAAGCGTTAATTAACTCAGAGTTATAGATTTGCAAGTTATAATAAGTTGGCAAACAACTATTTATAAGCATAAGGTAGAATTTTATTGATGGTGGAACATACTACATGTTTCAACAGAACACTGGTCTGTCTTCTTCAGGTATCCAATCCAATTCAATCCTGTTAGGTATTTAGGTTTGATAACCTAGGGGTGGTTAGACATTAGTTGAAATTTCTCTTCGCCCCTTCACTGACTTGTATGATAAATAAAGCTCAGGGGACTTGACTATGTTTTTCATGTTTTTATTATTATTATTATTTGCTTAAGTGGATTGCCAAGATCAAGCGAGCAGAGAGGCCGGAAAGAAAGACCGGAAATGCATCAATCTTCAGTTATAAACAGTACTAAACAATACAAGATTTATATATCGTTACAAAGACAAAATACCCAAGGATTAAATGTGACGGAAATGGTGTCTGTCAGCAGGTGACAGGATATAGGTGGAGGTGAAGTCTGGTCAACTGTATGAACAGTGAATAGACCTTACCAAATACGGCTGATGGATTTCTTCCAACATATTTTAAATGCAAAGCTACAAAAATTCTCACATCGACCATGTTCATGTATATATATATGGCAGATTTTGTTAAACAAGACCGATGTCTGTAGGTTTACTTTCTTCTTAGAATTCTTCTCAAGAAGTTGATAAGCCGTCTTAACGTTGTTAGAACAACGGGTAAAAGTCGT